GTGATCGCACTGCTGCTTCAGGGAAGGTAAAGGGAGGTGGTGTGTGTGTGTGTGTGTTTATTAATAACTCGTGGTGTGGAGATGTACGGACTGTTTATAAGCACTGTTCGCCAGACATAGTTTTTATTGCTGAAATGCCGGCCCTACTATCTAGCCAGAGAGCGTAGTGCTGTGTTTCGTGCTGCTGTATATGTTAGCCCAAGATCTAATCCCTCTGCGGCTCTTAGCAAACTCTATGGTGTCATCAACGCGCTAGAGACCGTGCACCCCGATGCTGTATTTATCGCTGCAGGTGACTTTAACCAGTGCAATTTAAAGACTGTACTCCCCAAATATTACCAACATGTGAACATTCCCACTCGGGGCAAGAACACTCTGGATCATGTTTACAGTAACATACGTGGTGCATACAGGGCCGAACCCCGCCCCCACTGTCCAAGGTCACCGTCAGAGCACATTCCAGCTTACAGATAGACTGAAACAAACAAACCCTGTCACCAAACTTAAACTCTGGACCCCAGAGGCTGAAGGCACCCTGCAGGACTGTTTCGCCCAGACAGACTGGGATGTGTTTAAAGCTGCAGCCACCTCAGAGGACTTTTCTGTCAGCATACAGGATTATGCTGAGTATGTGACCGGGTACATTAGTGCCTGTATTGACAACATTGTGCCCACCATACAAGTCAGGAGGTTCCCGAACCAGAAGCCCTGGATAAACAGTCAGGTACGCCACATACCTCGCTCTCATGCATTCAGATCAGGCGATGAGACGGAGTACAAAGTGGAGTACAGACTGAGGAAAGCATCGCAGCGGCCAAGAGGCAGTACAGAGAGAAGCTGAATGGCTTTTATTCTACTGCTGACTCTGGATGGATGTGGCAAGGCCTGCAGCACATCACAGACTACAGGACCACCACCAGCATCATCAGCTCCACAGACAGCCTGCCAGATGACCTCAACACCTTCTACACCCGCTTTGAGACCTCTAGCCACAGCACAGAGAGGAGGCACACACAC